AATTTACAAGTATTAGTATTAATGGAATAAGATGACTAATGTAATCATGTTAACAATCTATAATCTGATTGGAACCTCCTCTGTGTGTGGTTTCCAATTGAATAATAAGAGTTTATACTATACTTGTTTGACATACCATTAGTGGATCTTCTAACCTTGACATTGTTTGCTATCATTATTTAATCCTTACGTTAATTTTTCATCTCAAAGTTCTCATCAACTTTTCTTCTTCTTCTTCTTCTTTATTATTATTATTGTTATTATTGTTGTTGTTGTTGTTGTTGTTATTTATAATTTGTACAATTAACCTCCCTGTGGTTCGACCTCGGTCTTGTCGGGTTATTTATTACTTCGACACTCCTACACTTGGGAGAAGACATCAATCTTTTCGTCGTGTCAACAAGTAAACAATGCATCAATTGTTTAATTTTTGTAAAAAAATTGAAAAGGAAAATGTGTTGTCGTCCGCTGTTACATTTGACCAAAAAAAAAAAGCTAGGAGAACTTACCTACATTATACATAAGCTAAAAAAGTTTTGAAATCTAGGTTTTGTGATCTAAAAGCTTGATTGTGGACCTGCTAGGCTAATTAGATTTGACTATGTAGGGGTCTTTTATTTTTTTTTAATTTGATTATTTTGATTTGTTTTCGTTATGGACTTGCTAGGCTAATTAGATTTGACTATGTAGGGGTTTTTTTTCTTTTTGTTTTAATTTGATTATTTTGATTTGTTTTCTTGCTTAATTTTTTTATTGAACTTTATTTTTTAATATTTTATTATTTTTAATTGGATAATATAATTTATTTTGGTTTAATATTTACAATTTTATCCCAATCTCAAACATATCTAAATATTTAGTTGATTTTTCATTTTATAAGTCTTTATTTTTCTTGTTATATAGTTAAATAAAAATTATTAAAACATAATTATAGAACTTCTTGAGTTAATATGATATAGAATATTAGTTAATTTTAAGATTATGAGTTTAAATCCGAGTGTGTTTCTGCACATGAAAGAGTGTAATAACTGAGATGCACTTTGAAATCCGTTGCTGCCATTAATTGAACTATCCACCAACGTTTTTGGATGCCATTAATTCAAAGGGCGTTCTATTTGTGGTAATTCAACTAACCATTGTTTGGTTGATTTTAGAATAAAAACTTCTCCAATTCACGTGCAGTTGTAACGAACACAAGAAAAAAGAATTAATTATTTTTATTACTATTAATATAGATATTTAAATTAATTTAGATATATCTTTACTGATTTCATGGATCTGAAATTAACAATTATATAAATAAAAAAAGAGTCAAGAATTTTTCCTGCCCTGAGCTATTCAATAAATATATAAATTTTTTAAGACAAATTATTAATTTTTATACATGAATTTTTAAAGTTAATAGTAAAGTTTTAATTCAAATGCATTACCTAAAATATTAAAAATAAATTTGAAAGTATATAAAATTAAAGTAAAAGTAAAAATAAACTCATTATCAAAGTTATGTCCTTCAATGTTTTATGGAATATAATTTATCTATAATCAAATTTGAATCAATAATGTAATAATTCTCAGCCGAGAGTGTAATAACTCTCAGTCGAGATAAAATAATAATCTCATGTCAATTTATGTAATAATTCTCAGCCGAGATAAAATAATAATCTCATGTCAATTTAAAAACAAAGTAATGAAATTTTTTCTCTCTATCAATTTCTCCTTCCTTCACTTGAATCTTTCTTATATTAGTATTTTATAAGTTGGACTTTGTAAGTTTATAAGGATATTTTCTCAGTTTTTTTATTTTTTTTTCTTTGATTTTTTTATGTTTTTCCCCTACTTTTTTCTTTTTCTTTTTCACCTTTTCTTTTCTTTCTTTTTCTATTCTACTTCTACCTAGTCGGCAACATATAAAAAGAAGGAAGAACTTATTTATTTTATTTTTTAATGGCAAATAACCATTTTACCCTTAATGAATCGTTTTGCTTTTATTTGATGTTGTCTTTTTTGTTAGCACTACCGAACTTTGTCTATCTTAAAATTTTAATCAGATTTTATTCAATATATTTTAAGATTCCTCGTAAAATTTCAATTCAATCTGATAGTCGAATTGAAAATTACACTCAATAACGTAAAACTAGTCAAATTATGATTTTTTATCAAATTTCTGAATTTTTTAAAAAAATTCAGAAATTTTAGCCTAAGCTATAAAATCATATTAAAAGGTTCCACTTAAATTTTTAAAAAATTTTGATACCTCAATTGAAAATTATAAATTAAAAATTTTTGATACCTCAATTGAAAATTATAAATTTTCTTTATATAAACCTAGTTAAAAAAATATTGATAAAATCTTAACCTGGGCTAAAACCTACCCGAGTGCATACATGCCTCTGCCTTTGCATGTAAGTTTTCAATGACTCTAAAATTTATAAAATTTAAATTAATAATTTTTAAAAATCAAAACTAAAACTTGACTAGTTAAAGTATACAATCAATATTATTTTTATTATTATTATTATTATTTAGATTAGTGGAAGGTCCAGAATCTTCTGCAAAACAAATGCAGTTCTAAGTCATTGTATAATAATTAAAAAAAACCGAAGTTTGAGAGAAGAGAAGTGGAGGACAGTGTGGTTTGCCACTCGCTTTTGCTTCTGATTGTTACATTTGAGAGAAAGGTTGTCTCATCTTCAGGGATTGCAAGGCACTTTCTGCTGCTTGCTCGGCCACTACTGTACGTAGCTTGAGAGGTCATGAAGGAGCATTAATTCCAGCGTAAATCAAAATTGCAAAAAATATTTTTTTAATATAGAATAAAATACATAATATAAATTTAAATTATAAAATTACAAATAAAATATTTTAATTAATTATATATTAATAATTTCAGTTAAGTAATAATTAATAACATAACATAATTAAAATAAAAATAAAATAAACAATAGAACAGTTTGTTGATTTTTTTCATATGAATTTCTCTATTTTTTTTGAAAAAATTAACTTATTTATTTCATCATTTACAATAAACGAGTTTTCAAACGAGTCTCTTCAAATTTTGATAAATCATTTAATATTAATTATTTCAAGAATAAAACATGTCAATTTATAATTTTTATTATATATATTTGTTAGCTAAAACATAAGAATATATCAATTGATATGTTAATGGTTTACATAAGAAACTATAAAAATGAATATGTATTTTTATTTTACAAAAATAAAAATTACATATAACTTATATAGTTAAAAAAAATTATAATAATTATAATCAAAATCAAGCCTTTGATTATCATATGACACAAATTTTACAAGATATAAATTTAAAATAATAAAAATATTGGGAAATATATTATCAAATTGTATAATTTTATATTTGTTTTAAACTTGTAAAATCAGTTTGAGTTTACGGATTTCAGGAGTATAATTAATTTTATTAATTTTCAAGTTTTTATTCTGATTTAACTGTAAAAGCACGTGATTTTCTTGATTTCGAAGAAATGAACCCCAACTTGCTGGTATGGTGTGCCTCTCCTGTGCCATGGGATTATGGCTATTTTATACTAATGTATTAGACTGTCACTTTCTCTCTGTTTTCTATCTTTTTCTCAATTCTAGCTGTGGTTGGAATCCTATTGTCATTTATTTTAGTGACTAGATTTTTTCTCATGCGGTTTATTCTTCCAGGGTTTCTTTTTGTCCAGTTTTGATTTATTTTTTTGTGCTTTTTTTTTCCTTGCTGCAGCTTTGGTCAGGTTGTCTGTTTCTCTGTCTTTTATTCTCTGTGGCAAACGCCTTGTGTTCTCCGGTTTAGATTGCTCTTTGTTGCTCTATTTGTGACTTTGTCATTGCAGTCTTTGAGTTACAGGTATGCTTTTTTGGCAGCACTTTCTGGTCTCTCTTTTCTGTTTTTAGGTTTGTTGTTCAGGTTTAGGCCATGTGTAAGTGCTCTGCTATTTTTTGTAGTTGCTCGCCTTCGCGATTTATTTCTAATTTTTCTGGTTGTGCTAGTCAGGCATGCATGCATGCCTGTTGTTTGCTTTAGGCAGGGTGGTGTGTTTCATATGGAGGTTGATTATGCAGGCCTGGCTCTGCAATTGAATCGGGACTCTGTGCTTTTATGGCTGCCAAACACCTCCAGGTCTGTTTTGTTCAAAACTCAATAGAGGCCCGCCCTGTTTTTAGCTTCTGTTTTTTTAATTCTCCATTGTAACGCCAGATGCTCCTCCACAGTAGAGGTCCGTCCATGCACTGCCATAAGTCACACGTCCCTTGCATTCAATATTTCATGACAGCTATCTCTTTCTAGCTCTCTGAGGAAAACAACCACAATAGCTGAAGAAGATCCATCATGCAGTGTGCCATCACCATCAAGTTTGTATGAACCACCCATACCTTTTACTTTCCAAGATTTTTTCAATTGATTTTTTTTCTTTAACATTTAATTAGATAAGTATTAAGCTTCTTAGTTTAATCTAGATCTATAATTTAATAATAGTTTATAAATTTAAAAAATTAACTTTGATTTACAAAGTTTATATAGCCATGGGTTTTTATAGTTTTCTTGCCTTTTTAAAAGTTTTTTCCATCGTTTATTGTTTTATTATTTTTTATTTTTTATGAGATTTTTATAATCAATTTTAAAATTATATAGGTTGTCTTGCTTTTAGTATTTTTTTTATCTTTCTTACATTTAGAATTTCTAAAGAAATTTTATTTTTAAATTGAATTGAATTAATTGATTTCATCATCAAATATTTAATTTTTTAGATGTCAAGCTCTTGTATTAAGCCTGGGTTAAGAATTTAATGGATTGCAAATTTAAGAGTTAACTCGGGTTTACAAAATTTGTATCATTTTGATATTTTTTTCAATGAAAAATATGGTTGGTCTTATTTTAGTTTTTTATTAAATTGAATTTATTGATTTCACCCATTACATTAAATTTAAGCAATAATTGAAAGAATTTTACTTTTTAAATTTTGTTTATGAAAATTAGTTTTCTTTGTTTATTTATATTTTCTTCTATTGAGTTATCATAATATCATGTCTCAAGTCATGGATTCAGGAAGTTCACTAAGTTTGGCTCGACCATTTTTTTTTATTTTTTAATATTTTAGGATCTCGAGTTAATAATTATAATCTTGGATTTTGTATTATTTTTAAAAAAAAAATGCATGGTCTTGATATCTTTTTTTAATAAAAAAATGATAAGTCTACATAATAGCGCAGGCCACCTAAATAATGATTATTCGCTTGGTTCTGCTCACAGCATTTTACAATCTCACTTGATTTTGTTGGTGCTTTGTTTTCTAATATTTTTTCTTGATTTTTTTTTAATTTCATCTTTCTATATTTTTATTATAGGAGATTAATGATCATTATGTTTTTAGCTCTTTTTCTATGGTGTCGAGTCTTTTTTTTTTTTCATTCTTTAAAATCCAATAATAGAGTTTGAACATCATTTTTTTACGCTACAAAAAAATCAATCCGGCCAGCAATGAAGCGCAGGCTATCTATCTAGTTTTCTCTCTATGATTTGATCCTTTTGAAAACAAAAAAATAGTAGCCAATTGTTTTTAATTTATTGTAGAAGGATAAGAATCAAGGATAAAAGACAGAGTGAAAAACTTAAAGAACATAAGTGGTGCTTTTAAAGTTCAAATAAAAAATTCACTTTGATCCTTTACCTTTCTAATGGAGACATTTTCGGTCCTTATAATTTTTGAAAACTTCATTTTTGATACACAACTTTATTTTTTTTATTTTTCAGTCCTTAAAGACAATGAAAATGTTGGTATGTACTAATTTCATCAATAAAAAATATTAGTTATAATTTAACAAGTTTCATTTGATAAGAAAAATTCCACTAAGATATTCTTTAGTCTTCATCTTGGTTAAGGGAATAGATAGGGAGATGGGAAGGCTTTTTTTAATTTAGGTTTATTATTGGTTTTTTGAATGATTTTTTGAGTTGTTTGAAGCCATATAATAGTTTATTTAGGTATCTATGATGTTTTTTAAATGTAAAAAAATATTAAAAAATAAATATTTAGATAAAAAAAAACTTATACATTAACTTTCTTTCGATCCTCTGATTGTCGGTGTGTCTATGTGTGTATATTTTTTAATAAAAAATAACATCATTATAAATAAATAAAATAAACTTAACTTACAAAAAATTGTTATGTATATTATAGTACATGATTTTATATTTTTATTAAAAAATTACTTTTAAACAACACAAAGACCTTGAAATGAATTTAAATGACAATAGAGATTTTTCTTATTCATGGTCGAAAAAAATATAAAATATAAATTTTAAAAATAAAATCTTGCTTATGGTTAAAACAAAAATAATATATTATACAAATTTTTGGTTCAAAGTGTTTTTCTTTCAAAAAAACATATCTTTGATATCAAATCACTTTTCCTATTTAATCAACACTAAAAGAACAACTTTTATAATGTAGAAAATATACATACTAAATATTAAACAAATATAGTAATTGAAATTCATATTTTGTTCAAGTAATGAAAACTATCACATATACAACCACTAAACCAACCATGAAAATTGAGAATTGAGATTTTATTTTCTCTTTTAAACTATTAAAAAGAATAATATTTAAACAAAATAAAACAACAAGAAGCCCCCTTGATGATAATGTTCCTTGTTTAAATGGGCTGCTAAATGAGCTTAGGTCTTCTACATAGAATTTAGTGGCCAGAGTATCCAACATGGCCATCTCATTACTAAATATTAATGGTTTCTCTGGTCACTTATTAGTATTTTTTTTTTTTTCAACCATAAGCATTTCCTTTCATATGTTAATTTAAGCTAGACTAGCCTTAGTATCCGCAGTTCATCTAAACGGCTGATTTTTTTTTTAAATAATAATTTGATGATGAAATAGGATAACAGTAAATAAAAGTAAAAAAATAAGTCATGAAAAACTTATAACTATAATAATTAGGATCAAACCAATAAGAGATATTCTTTCAAATCCATAATCCAAATAATAAAATTAAAATAACCTAATAAAAAAAAAAGAAGTATAAAGCTTTTTTAAAAAAAAAATCTAGTTAAATTTTCAAACCCGTGACCATAGTTATTAGACCTGAAACACCTAATTTGGACACATCATGAAGTTCAATTTTCAATCAATCAAATATTGAAGAATAAAATTTTTTAAAAAAATATTATATAAAATGACTAAAAATGCAATGAAAAGAATGAGAATTATAATTAAAATACAAAATAAATTTTATATTTGATTGAAGGGTGAAGTTAAAAAGAAATAAAAACTTTTACAAGAGGACCAAGAAAAAAATCAGAAATAAAAGATTAAGGACCAAATTGAAAATATAATACAATTAATTTGAATTGAATAATAAAATTAAAAACCAATAAAACTTTTATAAAAGAGATAAGGAAAAAAAATAGAAATCCAAATAATGAGAATCAAATTAAAGAATAGAATATTTAGTAGATTGGGATTGAATAATGAAATTGAAAACCAATAAAACTTTTACAAAATAATTAAGACAAAAAATAAAAATCAAAAGAATAAGGATTGAAATTGAAACACCAACAACCAAGAAGGTCGGGCTAAAATTTTTAGGGAAGGAGAGAGAAAATAAAAAAAAAATTCACCAATGACAAATTGAACTATCAACATAAACAGGCGTTGCACCAACAAGAAGAAGACATAACACCAAAACGTATGGTGTTGTATCTAGTAATTACTAGATTGTTGACTCATACTACGCTGCCAATTGGATAAAAAAAATTAGCATAAAAACATACTCAAACATTGTTAACATGTTTTTTAGCAAGATTTGTTTTATCATGAACTCAAAATCCAATATACATTAGGCAATACTTTTTTAAAGTATTGAGATGGTCATATTAGATAATATTTTATTTTTAAATACTAAGACATCAATATATTAGATTGATTCAAGATAATTTGTGATAACTTACTATAATCTGCAACCCGAGTTGTGAGATTGTGATAACATCATATGACATAAATAAAAATAAATTATTAATTCTAATTACCAATCAATAAAATATTAAAAGATATAATTAAAAAATAAAAAATAAAAAAAATTACCCAAGTTCATCGCAATAATCTCCTAAACTCATGACTTGGGTTATGAGAATGAGATAACTACATGGAAAGCAACTTGAAAAAAAATATAAAACCTAATTCCTCACCAACCTACTATTGAAGGACAAAATTAAAAAAAAATCTAAGTCAACATGGAATAACTTGTCAAACCCGCGATTTGAGTCATGAGACTAAAATAATGATCATGAGACTGGTATAATCCCTTGAAAATAAAATATAAAAGAAATCACGAAGTTAAATTCCTAACCAACTCAATAATAAAAAATAAAATTAAAAAAAAACATCAAATAAAAAAACCCAAATAAACCTTGGCTAACTTACCAAACCCACAACCCAAGTCTTGATACTGAGATAAATTCATAGAAAACAAATAAAAAAAATATATAAAACTTGATTATTTACCAACTTAAAGTCTAAGGAAGAAATTGAAAAAAAATTCGATTAATGATAAAACTTTGAAGAAAATAGAAATGAACCAATAATATGTTAAGCTAAGAGCGAGCTTTAAATAGGTTTTATATAAAGAACATTTCAATCAAGAAGTCTAGGAAGGAAGAAAAGTATAGACTTAGACGTGTTCATAGTGGGATTCATTTACTCGCAAGTACAAGGCCCTTGGAAGAATGATCTTTCAATGTAAGTTTATTTTGCATTCACAACGACATGTTTAATAATGTTTTAAAAAATAATTTCATCTAACGAATGCAATTTCAGGTTTACAAACATTGAAGCTGTGAGAACAATAATATCAACCTTTAAATCGTCGATGGAAATCTCATTGTTTCAATGAAGCCAAGTTTCGAAACATCTTAAATGTAAACCACAGATCGATGCATAGTTTTCAAGGTTTAAGGTTAGTATTAACTAAAATATTTTTTATGTTAATTTGGTTAGTTTATTGAAATTACTATAATTTTTCTTTTATAATTTTTTACTTCAAGGGAAATTTCAAATGGGAGAGAGCTGATAATAATGTTGCGAGGAAAGTTTGGAAGAATCATGTTGTAATTAGATAAAATCGAATTTAGGATAATTTTTTAATCCCCAATATTAAAATTTTATTTTTATTAACTAATAGATAATTAATTTGTAATATATAAGTTGTGTGATTTTTTGTATGAGGTAAAAAAGGAAGCAAAAAAATGCGAAAAAAAGAGTTTCCATGCTAAAATGATATGGCAGTTTAAAAGGATTTC